AGAGGGCCCTTGTTGTGATGAGCACTGGGTGTTATTTGGAAACCAACTTGACAATAAACTATATAAAAAAATTAAAAAGTTGGCTTTCTAGGGGCCAAGGTTAGAAAAAGTGGCATGTCTAACAGGGGCTTGGAGATATGATGAGAGAACATGGGTGATTAGAGTACAGATTAAATATTCAGGAGAGTACAAGCAGGTCTCTTTGGTTAGTGTAGCAGAGGAATAAAAGTAGAAAGGTGGTTTGAACCAAAATTATAGAAGATTTTAAATGTTGGTGACACTTCTTAAATCCTAAGGGGAACACAACACCAACTTCTAGGGAGTGTTTATGGTTCTCTAACTCAGCTTTTAAGGAGGAAGTGTCCTACTTGAGGACAGTTTAAAAAAAAAAAAAAGAGCTTTCTGTTCAGGAAAAGAGTATGATAGAGTCATATTCTGTATTCTTTGGCTCATCTTTGGGATTGTGCATATTTGGAAAGCCTTGTAATAGGTATGGAAAGAGAGGCCTAGGATTGTCTGCCAACATAGGAAGGGTTTCTTGCCAAGAGAAATCCATTTGAGAACTAAAGTCTAGCCCAGGGTGGGGAGGCATCATCTAGGCCACTTAAATTAGTCTAGTCTGGATGAAGTTCTTGCAGTTTAAAAGAAAGCCAGCTCTAGAAGCCCTCCAGTTGATTCTGATATACTAACTGGTTTTAAATCTACTCTCCTAGATTCAGATACCATTTGTTTGGAGGGTACTGTGAGCACATATCCTCAAGCCACTTGTCACTATTACATTTATGTCTTTGAAGTGAACAGTGGTAACACATAGGTAAAATCTAGGACTCCCAAATCCTATGCCCTCAATTTGTTTCTACTCAAGGTTTGGCCCCTAGCCCTCCTCTCTCTCTGCCCCTCCCTCACTTGCACTCTCTTAGAAATAAAACATTCTTTAAAATTTTTTTAAAAAAATAATAAAAATGAGAAAGTATACATATTCTTATTAAAATTTGATTCATTTCTTACCCCAAAATTTCATTTTTGGAAAGTAGTTTTAAATCTTGATTTGTTGAGCTGTTCCTTTCTGGTATATTTTATCTGAAAAATTGTTAAGTATTTCTCTTAATTAATCTCAGTATAGGTCTAAAGTTGAAGTCATATGGTTTATGTTTAGATGTTTGTTTCTCTTAGACATTGATGTGATCTTCAGCACTCTTTGGATACAGTTGCTCAGCTTGTTGCATGTCCACTTAACCATAGATACTTCGTGCTCATTTTTCTAGTGGATTCACAGTCTAGTGCACAAGATGTCAATGTCTGGCTGCAGCTGGTATATTACTTCACATCACTCTTAATTCTAGCCTCTGAGGGGAGTGGCTTTTTCTATACTCTAGTTCATATCACCCCCAGCCCTTTGAACTTCATCCCTTTTTGGTATTCCTGACAGAGATTCCAGAGATTATGTCTGGGCCAATAAAAAGAATTAACATTGTGTCTTGCTTTATTACTCTTTTATGTTTAGTGTCTGTAATGATGTAAGATGATTATGTGGAGAGAATTTTTCATTTATACTTTTTACATTCAAGTAATGATTTATGTTTATTTAAAAAAATTACTGTTTAGTTTTGAAAGAGTGAGAGAGAGAGAGATCGAGAACGAGCAGGGAAGGGACAGAGAGACACACACAGAATCCGAAGCAGGCTCCAGGCTCTGAGCTATAGCACAGAGACCAACATGAGGCTCAAACCGATGATCATGACCTGAGCCAAGGTCGTATGCTTAACCAACTGAGCCACCCAGGCGCCCCAAGATGTATGTTGATTTTAGAAAGAGAGCAAGCACAGTGATTGTTGAAACTCTAAGTTGAGTCTGCTAGTGTTTTGAATCCATCTTGTGTGAGATATGTATGCTAAACCACTTTGCAAATGAAAGTCACTATACAATTGTAGACATTACTGTTATCTTAATTTTAAGTAATTATAGAAGTAATAATTGTTGGGATGTGCACTGGGTGTTTGTGTAAGTGATGAATGACTGGGTTCTACTCCTGAAACCAATACTATGTTGTATGTTAACTAACTTTAATTTAAACAAATCAATTTTTTTAAAAAAGTAATAAATCAAATTCTCCCTCTGTCATCAGTAGAGACAGGAATAGGAAAGGTAGGGGCTGCAGCTTACTTGTGATGAAAACTTTCTCCCAAAGACATGGTACAAAACAAGAAGCATTATTGGAATTTTTCTGATCCCAAGTTTCATATGTGCATCAGAGTAGATATGGAGCTAAGGTGTTAGTTCTCTTTGTATTTATGGGGACTCTTTGATCTCTGGACCTTAAAGGAGCATTTAGTTCTAGGTGAATGTGACCTCAGACTATTTTACTTAGGAAAAACATTGCCTTTTAATGTCACTGCTGACCATTCACTATACCTTGTAAAGATGCCAATGACCTACTCTAAAAAGCTAGGATATCCGGTACATTGTCAGATGCAGAGGTTATCTTTCCACTCCTCAGTCATCTTATATTATTGATGCGTGAATATGATGAGAATAAAATGCTGATGAAAAATGTTGTTTAAGTTAAAGAAAAATCTATTTAAACTTCTCTACACAGCACTAAATTACAGGCTTTCAGGCTGAGACAGAACCTGTCTATTTATCAGCTTAAACTGTATTCCATAGGGAAGATGGAAAGACCCTTGAGGACTTCCAAGTGAAAGTCATCCTCTCATAAGATGATTTCTTAGAATCTTTTCATTAGCTCTGTCCCCTAACATTACCAAAGATTTTTCTTTCAGAAGGAGTAGAATTTTTAAAAGGCTGAATAGTACTCTGAGAATCCATATGTATCAGCTGCTTTTAAATATTGTTCCTTGAGTACAGAACAGGATATAAGTCTCCATTATTGGAATAAACGAGTGCTGTGTTATTAAGTATGGCAGATTTTTAGATGGAATTCTAGTTATGTTTTCAGCAGTGTTTTGTAAGATAATTCACAAAAGATAATTACATGGGTAATTCATAGCTAGAAGGAAAAGGAACAGAAGAGTTGAAAGCCTGAAGGATAATTGATGTGTTTGACTCCCCAGCCTATATGGGAGGCTGTGACTCAGCTGCTAATTGCACTGGACTCAGTACTTTCCTTCTTATGCTCCAGATGTATTCATGCTGAAGAATTCATCAATCCATCTTTGCCTTCATGTAACTGGAATCTACCCCTGCAGAGGAAAGTATACGAATTAAGAATAACTTACCAGAATGTGATTCAGCATTACTGTAACTATAAAGTTGGCCAAAATCATGGACTTTGATGAAAGCAGATATAATAATTATAATTATTTCAAGTGATTTTGTCTCAGAGGAGCATGTTTATGGTAGAATAGATATTGCAGCAAGCAGAGACACTGGTTTGATTTTGAAGATTACATAAATGACTAATCTGTTCCTGAGTCATAAAGGAGCAGTATCCTGTATTTGAGGATGAATTTTCATTAGGTTGAAATGTTAAATGGATCATTATAAAATGTAATCATGGAAACTGTCTTGCTAATTATCAGCAAGGAGAATCAGTAAGTAATATCCAGGACAATCTCAAACTGAATGACTTACCTTTTAAAGATTGAAAACAGATTGGATTACTGGTTATCCATAAATAAACTAATATAGTAGAGAGCAAAATTTTAAATGGTAGTTTGTTGGGAAGAGTAAGTTTGATAGTGTTATAAAATGGAGGAGTTGGGATCTGTTCTGTTACCATTATACTAGTACCTTCTTTAAAACTGAAGGTAGGTCTTGAATCAGAGATGAGTGGGGTATGAAGGTGGTTGTCCCCAAAATGCTGACTGTTCAATGGAAAAAGAGAGTTTAAAAGGGCACAGAGACTAGTTTGTGAAGAACAGAAACTTTAAGGCATATCTAGGAGAAAAAGCCTATCTTCTTTGTTTACATGTTTTCTGGATGTTTCTGTTCTTCACATAGGTATATCCAAGTTTAAGTCCATTTTATTTGTAAGAACCTTTCACAAAGAGGAATTTTATTATACAAAATAGTAATACAGAGAAAGTTTTGGGAGCAAAATATATGAATTTTAGAAAGAAATTGTTTTCAATTTTGTTATATGCATTTTAATAAAAATAAAAGAATATGCTAATGCAAATATGTTAACTTTCATCAACATACACTTTTTCGATTCAGTGGAAATCTCCAGTGACTTGTGGTCTATCTAGCTAATCATGTTGAGGACAGTGATTTTTTTTCTTTTTTTTTTTTAATGATTTTATGTTCTTCAAGACCTGTAGAACAAACTCTAGAGACTACTTCTATCCCTCTAAGACTAGGCATACAGGTGATATCCAATAGATAGTTGAGAGACTGATTCATTCAAAAGAGTCCAGTAGAGGGGCGCATGGGTGTCTGAGTCGGGTAAGTGTCTGACTCTGGATTTCAGTTCAAGTCATAGCCTCACGGTTCGTGAGTTCAGTCCCGTGTTGGCTCTCCACTGGTAGCATGGAGCCTGTTTGGGATTCTGTCTTCCTCTCTCTGTGCCCCTCCCCTGCTCATGCTCTCTCTTCCTCTCTCAGAATAAATAAACTTTAAAAATACATAGACTAGTAGAATGCCTCCCTAACATTGCTAGTATTCTATTAATTTGTGTTATTGTATTGGCCAATAATAAAGTAGCATTTTTTTTACTCTTTAAAATTGATTTTTTTCAAAAATTCATGTTGCCTTTCTCCATATTTGATTAGAATCAATTTGACATTCTCTGTCCTTGGAAGAGAAGTGATATGAACACAATTTTAGAAAATCAGAAAATTTAGAATAGCTCTAATATGATTTTTGGTTTTAGGTTTTGTTTGAGAATAGGCTACACAGATGTTGAGATACATGTAAACTATTTCTTTCAATGATTCCTTCATTATTTATTCATTCATTCAATTTTCAGCTATTTATTAGGCACATCTGTGTGTCAGGTATGCAATGAACACGAGGTTCTTCAAGTAATGGGTGAATCTTACTGCAAAAGAATGTGTGTTTTCCAGAATATTGATGAGCTGTCTTACGAGACCTAAAATTGTAGAGAAGTCTAACACTGGACTGCGGGAACAAGAGGTAAAGAAATTGTGAAGGTAGGTATCTCATGGTCACGAAGCTCACCAAGCTTATGAGGGGAAGTGTGGTCTCTTTCCACATTTTAGACATTGCGCTTTGCAGCTGTAGACCACCACACAGTTTATTTTGCCTGAAATGCTCATTTTCCCTCTTCTTCTAAATAACTCTGTGTCATACTTAAACTCTCAATTTAAGTTTCACATCTTCAGACTTTCTTTGACTCACTAGCCTAGAGTAAATTAAGTCTTCCTGATATATGGGAATGCCATTATTTATTTCCCTTTTCTTTTAACTTTTACTATAGATATCCTATTTCTAAATATTTGTTTGATACCTGTTTTTCTTTCTCCACTCTCCTTTTTTAAAAGACCGTTAACCACAATAGTCCAGATTATGTTATAGTAACAATTCTGAAACCTCAGGTAATTAATGCATCAAAAGTTTGTTTCTTGCTTGTGCTTTGTTTTTAGTGCAGGTCAGCAGTGGGTTCAGGTTTACACAATATTTCAGAGACTCAAAACAATTGAGGTGGGATCTACCATACACTAGAGTGAACCTACTAGAACAAATCATTTTTTATTTCAGGGGAGGGTCGGGGGGTTAATTTGTTTCTTTTATTTATTCATTGTTTGTCTGGGGCTACTTGGTCCAGGGAAGAGAAATAGGAGAATAACGCCAGGTCCTCTCACCACCCATTGGCTAGATGCAGTCACAGAATCTCACCCAACTTGAACAAGATTGAGAAATGCAGTTTTCCTTGTGCCCTGACAGGAGAAGAATCTGATATTGGTGGATGGAGGTAACTGTCTTTGAATTGAAATCCTTAGAAGAAATAATGGTGAGAAGGAAATGATGTCCCAGGTTTGGCCAAAATTGAGAAAGAACCTTTAGCTACTTCCATTAATTTTGGTTCTTTTATGTCACACATTGCTGAAAGGATTTGGCCCTATGATTGCTATTTCACCTTTACTGGTTATTGATGATTGTGGGGGGTAGAAGAAGGTCAAGGGAAATTGAGAGGGGCGAGCATAATTCTTTTTCTAATAATTTATGGGAAATGCAGCATGTAAATTATAAACCAGTAGAGTGGTGTGGCAATTGTTGATGCGAAGTTAGGTAAAGTGTATTTATAAAATACAATAATAATGATATTTTTGTATTTTTATTGTACTACAATAAAAAATGTAGTGCAGAAATAGAGTGAGCCTTTAGAAACTTTTGTAGGCACATGCCTGAGAAGTTTACATCTATTACATCTAATAATTTTAAAATATTTAAAATTAAAATGATTAAAAATGCAATTGCATGTTGTGTCTTGCTTTTTATGTTATTTCATTTTTCTAGAATATCATTTTTATTGTATTTTATAAAAGTTTCAGTCCATGAGAGATTATTGGAAATTTAAGAAACAACAGACTGATCCATTGACACAGATCATCTGTGAAGTACTAGTTTGAGCACTTACTAAAGAAAATGAGGGGCGCCTGGGTGGCTTAGTCGGTTAAGCGTTCGACTTTCGCTTAGGTCATGATCTCGCGGTTCGTGGGTTCGAGCTCCGCATCGGGCTCTGTGCTGACTGCCAGCTCAGAGCCTGGAGCCTGTTTCAGAGTCTGTGACTCCCTCTCTCTCTGACCCTCCTCTGCTCACGCTGTCTCTCTCTCTCTCTTCTAGAAATAAATAAAAATATTTAAAAAAAAAAAAGAAAAAATGAAAGCAGTGATCACTGGAAATTAGCATGTGTTGATTTATTAGGGTAGCAAGTAATATCAGACCATATATATTTTTTTCTTTTTAGCAACTGACTAGTCTAGTAATGTGGGAGAAACACGGTATATTTAACATATATGGATTTTGGCATTATATAATTTTCTCATGATATGCTTTTTGGAAGAAAGTTTTGAAATATGGGCTAGGCAGTGACTTTAAGTAGGTTGTTGGTTAAATAATTACATACAAAGAGCTCCAGTTTATGAGCCTGTTTACCTCTTCACTTACCCCTCCACTGTTCCTGAGAACTGTACTTCACCTTTGCTGGCCACGTCCCAATTTCTTCTTACATTTGTAATCGCTGGTTTTTCAGTGGTACCTTTGCACCATTTCTGAGATGTGGAGAATAGAAAAAGTAAAATAATTTTTAACATTTTAAAGGAAAAAGTGTGGGAGGTCTATGTAAAGCATATGTAATAAAGCATATACATTTCAGTTGACAGAGTTAACTGTAATTTGGCTATCAAGATAATGAAAGTCATTTTAGATTGCACTATTAGGAGATTTATTGACCTATCTATGAATTTATTTTTTAATGTTCATTTATTTATTTTGAGGGCGAACGAGAGAGTTTGAGAATGGGAGATGGGCAGAGAGAGACAGAGAGAGAGAGAATCCCAAGTAGGCTCCCGCTGTCAGCGCAGAGCCTGGTGCAGGCTTAATCTCACAAAATATGTGAGATCATGACTGGAGCCAAAATCAAGATTTGGACACTTAAGTAGCTGAGCTACCCAGGCACCCTGACCTATCTATGAATTTATACTCCACTTTTCTATGAAACTCGATTTGAGTCAGTTTACTGTCTATATATCTGTAAAATTAGCAATAAACTTGTAGCTGGCTGAATGCATTTTATTACATATTACAGTATTATAAGAGACAGGTCAAAAAATGGTTTCTGAGCTATCTAGTGACCAGAACAAAGCGAGAAGTAAGAATCATGGATAAGATAAAAGTAAAGCTTTTTCCACGAAAAATAAAACCTTTCATTGAAGGCAGGCACCTGGGTGGCTCAGTCTGTTGAACATCCCACTTGGCTTAGGTCATGATCTCATGGTTCATGAGGTCAAGCCCACGTCAGGCTTTGCCTCACAGTGTGGAGCTTTCTTGGGATTCTCTCTCTCCACCTCTCTCTCTGTCCCTCCCCCACTCACACTGACTCTGTCTCTCTCAAAAATAAACTTTAAAAAATATATAATAAAGCACTTTTAATGTAATTTCTCAAGTTTTAGGTTGCTTAAAGATTACCTGGGAAGATTCTGACTCAGCAGATCAAGGATGGGGTTCAGGAACCTGTGTTATTGAAAAGCACCTCAGTTGATTCCTGGTGCCCATGGTCCAAAGATTGTAATTTGAGAAACATTGATCTAGAGGAGTAGTTGGCAGTTTTCCATATGGGTGGTTTACCACAGCTGAGCCTTATATAAGAAAGGCTGATATGTATGTTTCTGTTATTTGGCAAGAATTTGGATTGCAGGAATTAAATCTTGCTAATTCAGGAGGCGGCCTGTAAAATTTGACCTTAAATGCTTCCTGTTAAATGTACTTAAAAAAACAGCAACTAGTTCTGCCATCCAATATATTTCTCCAGGCTCTCTGCAATCAATAACTACTGAAAACGTAGGATTCTTAGGAAAGTGAGACAGCCTACACAGAAAAATCCCCATGGAAAACACTGATATGAAGGATTGCCTGAGGAGTTTCACAGAGAATGGAAGAATTATTTAAAATATTATGTTAAAGGTCAAGTGCACAAATACCTACTACGTAATTATTTAAAAATTAGTATGCTAATTCATGTTTTCTTTTGGATGGTTTAGAATATTTAGTTACCTTTTCTTTAATCTGTAACATGGTTGTGTTGTGCAAGAAGTAAATGGGCTGGTGTCATTTTTTAAACTATAGGTCAAAGCAGTGTGTTTGATAATAGGAACATAAGTCATGTGTTTTGAAGGTTCTGGGTCCTTTAGCTGACCTCACAGCACGAGGCAGGGGGTGGGTACTAAATGTCTTAGAGTTTGTGTTATTAATCCCCTGAGAAGATGTTTGAACTAATCTCAAAAGAAAATATCAGTCCCCTTATTATAACTCGGGTAGTATTAAGAATCATTGAATAAAATGAAAAGAGTATGCTTTCTGCAAGAGAAAACCTTTTGAAAGAAATTCTGAAAAGTTATATAAAAATGAATAGATTTCCTAGATTGCATCATTTCTGTCAATTTTATATATAAATGTCAAATAAAAGAGTCCTAAATCCGAGTTAATTTAGGTTTTTAAAGCTACTGGACATGACACTATTAACTATACCTTTACTAAAAGTTGCTCTGTTTTATGAAACATGTTAGGTACAATACCCAAGAACCAATCTCTTAAACATGGGACACATTTTTCCTTTCATAAATATGCCGCCTAAATTATGATGATTCTTGAAGCATTACACATTTTTGACATGGAACTAAAATAAAAATCTTATTTTATAAAGATAGAGATTGATAGTTTTTGTACATGAAATCAAAGAATCTTAGAGACAGAGTAAATCACTTTACCCTACTTCTCTTTTCCTTATTAAATGCATTTAAACACACCAACACCGCCACCATCAGTCATGCCTTGAGGCACAAATCCTTCTTGTGATATTTTTTCATGTTTCATTTACCTTTGATCAGAAATTTTCCAAGATAAAGCTTCACCACTTTATATGAAGTCTACTCTGTTGCTACACATTTCTAATGGGTGAAAAGTTCTGAGGCCAAATTTTGCCTTTCTGTAATTTTCCTCCTTGCCCTTTGGTATGACACACGAATACAGGCATGTCCCTTAAGCCATATTTTCAAGTGTTTGAAGACCTCTCTCATTTTCCTCTAAGTCCTTCCTCCAGGCAGAGCATTCCAATTATTTCAAATATTTCCTGCATTACAGTCTTTGCAGATGCTCACTGCATATTTGCTTTGCTCCCTATTTGGTCAAGTGCTCATGTGGACAAGGATAAGATCATTTTTAATCTTACTATGTCCAGTCCCAGCATAATGTCTGGAACAGAATAGACAATTAAAAGCTTATATCCAGAAGTCTTACTAGAAGAATGAGTGATCAGTCACCATTGAGCTTTCTACATTTCCCCCCCATATTCCTTTTAAAAGTAGTGCCCAAAACTAATATACTCCTATGGTTATCTGGTCAGTGCAGAATATAGTGATTATCACCTTTCAGAACTTGGATAATCCATATTTTAAACAATACTGGATACAGG